TTTCCCAAATCTTGGACCCTTCTTATGATTTTGTTCTACTTAAACCATACCTAACTGCTTGGTATTCACTGGATAAAATGTTTTCAGTGATCCAGGAGCTGTTAGACAATGACCAATTCCTGTTCATGCTTTTGCAAGAACGGCGGGGTTTTATTTTTCCCTGTTAGATGTTGTCTTGAACTTGCAGATGATGAAGGGTTTTCAACGCCTCTCTTACAGGATAGGAATAGTAAATCTGAGGACAATTATGACAGGCTGAGAGAGTTGGGGTTGTTCAGCCTGGAGAAGAGGAGCGTTGACTTTGTATTAACTTCATCCCCTGTGAGTTCCCCGCTCCTTGCCACGCACAGTTTAGCACTCACGATGGCCGGTGGGAAGTGGTTCACAGCTTGGCTTGGGAAATGCCTCCTGCGGGTTTAATCTGCTCAGCTGGAAAGCACAGGGAACATAAAATTACGTGGCGATGCTTAACCTCGGTCCTTTAGTGACTAAATTGGCTTCTTCTGATTGCTTGAAGAAGGTCTGTATCATAGAATCACAGAATAATTGAGGTTGAAAGGGACCTCTAGAGATGGCCTAGTCCAACCACTCTGCTGAAAGTGAGGTTCCTAGGACATTGTCCATCCAAGGGTGGAGGCTCCACTGCTACCCTAGGCAACCCTTTCCAGTGTTTTACCACTGCCAGAATAATAATTAAAAAACCCCAAGCCCCACCACACTCCTCTGGTGCCCATTACCTCATGCCCTCTCAGTGGATACCACTGAAGAGTCTGGCTTGGTTTTCTTTACAACCTCGTGTCGGGTGCTTATACACATTGATAAGACCCTCCTGGGCCTTGTCTTCTCCAGGCTAAACAATCCCAGGTCTCTCAGCCCTCTTGTATAAAAGACGCTCCAGTCCCTTAAAATGATTTTCATTGCCATTTGCTGGACAACTTCCAGCTGGTCTGCATCTGTCTTGAACTGGGGAGCCCTGGACTGGGCACAGCACCTCAGATGCTGTGCTGAGGGGAAGGATCACCTCCAGCAGCCCGCTGCTGGCATTCTGCCTCACACAGCCCAGGGTGCTGGTGGCCTTTTTTGCCTCAAGGGTACACAGCTGGCTCCTGGTCAACAAGGGGTTGTTCCTCCCCAGGTGCAGGACTTGGCATTTCCCTGCAGACTTGAGATGAGGTTCTGTCTGCCTCTTTCTCCAGCCTGTTGAGGTCCCTCTGAATGGCTGCAGAGCCATCATGTGCCTCAGCCATTCCTCCTGGTTTTGTATTGTTTGTGAACTTGTTGAGGGTGCACTCTGTGCTGTCATCTGGTCATTAATGGAAAACTGTCTTGGACACAGTACCAATGCCAGTGTTTTGAATCATAGAATCATTTGGGTTGGAGAAGCCCTTCCCTTCCCTGGGCAGCCCCTTCCAGCCCCTGACAGCCCCAAGGGGAAGGAATTGTTCCCCATGGCCAACCTCACCTGGCACAACTTGAGGCCATTTCCTCTTGTCCTAAGGTGTGAGGTTTTGGGTTTTTTTACTACTTATTGCTGAAGAGCAGCTAATCTGATGGCAGGTAATTGTGTTGGTGAAGACTATTTAAAGGTCTTTCCTCAGTAGAGATGGCCAGAGTTTTGTTTGTTTGCTTTTGGCAAGCAAAGCAACACCTTAAAATTCTCAAGTGATGTTGTTAGCAGCATCATTTTCATGCAGTTTGTCTTTATTGGTGCATGGTGGGGTGGGGAGGGGGCAAAGTAACGTATTCATCTGTCTGTTGACCATCAAGAGTCCATGAAGGGGTCTAGATGTTGGGAGCTCCCTCTTGGCTCCCAGCAGACAGGCAGCCCTTCTGGCTATGCGTGTTCCTGAGGGCTTTGAGATACAGACTTGCATTATTTTGAGGTCAGTGTTAATGCTTAACCTGGAGTTACAAACACTTTTCTTGTGCATTTGAGAATAGGCCATTTGGTATCGATCTGGCTGTGCAGTACCCAGGCTTGGGGCACTACATTAGTGGCTCCAGCAAAATGCTGCAATTCTATACTTAGAAGCCACCTGAGTCGTGTCCTCAGATGAATATTCTTGTACTTCCAGCCCAATGGAAAACAAATCTGAGTTTGCACAGTGATCTGGCCGGTAAAACTGTCTTTCAAGGATACTGATAGATCAGAATTTATAAGGCATCTCTGAGCAGAATGTCAGATGAATTAAATCAATAAAAGCTGTTGGGTGCATGATGCTATTCTGTCGTTAACCATGCAGAGCTATAAACTTCCTTTGCAAGACCAACAACACGTTGCCTTTTGACAATTCTATTGATGTGTTCTTTGCTCTTCTAGGCTTTCTGTTCAGGAGTGGCATGTTCAAGCTGGGGAGGGAAAGCAAGCAGCTCCAGTCCTGTTAGCTTGCTTGAGGGATGCTCACAGCTGTGTCACCCATTGCATCGCTTTTCTGGCATTCAGTGCTGTATCTGTTACTGCCCGGTGTTACTCATGCCTATTCTTGAAGATGGGTAACTGTAGGCAAGAAGAAAAAGACTGGCTCTCCTTCCTTCTCGGGCTCCTCTAATCAAAGTTTTATTTCTAATCTGTCTTCTTTGTGATCTGTCGTGTTCTCTGGTGTAATCTTGGAGAAGAAAGTGCACCTCTACAGCAGGACCTTCAACACCATCAAACTGAGCTAGCAAAAGTGTCTTCTTACTCACATAGCAGACTACTTCAGTGCTTCAGTTGGCACACCAGTGGTGGTGACACCACGATAGGATGTCAGTCTCTGTAGTGGCTGAACACCCCACCAAGAGTTTGTGAGAGGCCTTGTCCCAGAGAAGACTGCAGGGAATGTCTGGTGCTCCTCCTGCAGGCCAGGATTGAAGATGATGGTAGCTTGAGCATTCTCCAGCTGGGTTGGGGTAATCCCAGTTATATATACAAACTGGGGGATGAGCGGCTGGAGAGCAGCCCTGCAGAAAAAGGTCTGGGGGTTTGGGTTGATGGCAAGTGGAATATGAGTCAATGGGGTGCCCTGGCAGCCAAAGGGGCCAGCTGTGTCCTGGGGTGCATCAAGCACAGCATAGCTAGCCAGTCAAGGGAGGTGATCGTCCCACTCTGCACCGCATCGGTGCGGCCCCACCTCAAGTGCTGTGTGCAGGTTTGGGTGTCTTGATAATAAGAAGTATATCAAACTTTTAGAGTGTGTCCAGAGGAGAGGAGCTTTAGCAGGGGAGTGGTTTGGGTGTCTTGATAATAAGAAGTATATCAGACTTTTAGAGTGTGTCCAGAGGAGAGCAACCAAGATGGTGAAAGGTCTTGAGGGCAAGACTTAGGAGGAACAGCTGAGGTCACTTGGTTTATTCAGCTTGGAGAAGGCTGAGGGGTGACCTCATTGTTGAGGGGTGACCTCATCGCAATCTACAACTTCTTCAAGATGGACAGTGGAGGGGGAGCTGCTGATCTCTCTCTGGTGACCAGTGGCAGGCCATGAGGAAATGGAATTGCTTGAAGACAACTTTTTGAGCCAGCTGCTGGACAAACTGGCCAGAGGAGATCTAGCAGAGTGAAGAGAGGTGACTGGGAATATGAACAGTGGTGCTCTGTGAAATGAGAGTTCAAAGTCTTATGGGAAATGAGGAAAGTGAGTAGAAGGATAAAAATGCCTGTCTTTGGCTTGTTCAGAGAACTGATACGTGGGATCCTACAGGAATCTCTCCTGTGGAGCAGAGAAACCCAAGAGAGCTGGCTGATCTTCAAGAGCAACCTTCTCGGAGCATAGGAGCGGTCTGTCACGATTTCTAGGAGGCCAAGCAGGTGTGGCAGGAGGCCAGGCTGATCATCTTGCTGAGCTCAACTACAGGAAAAAGCCTTATGGAAGGAAGATGTGAGGACCGGTTGCCTGGGAGAAGTACATAGAAGCATCCTGTGGGCACGCAAGGATGTAATTAGAAAAGCTTTTCTTCCTTGCTGCTCTCAATGATGAGGTTCTTTGGTCGAATGTAGTATTAGCTTGCATTGCGGTTGTGCCTAGTGAAAAATTAATGAGATGTGTTGTTGCCGCTCTAGGTGTGAGCGGGATGGGACTTGTCAAGAGCATGTCCACATAAGTGAAAGTCAAGAAGAAAATGCAGTGCCCAAGAAGAAAAACGTACACTTACATTTTTGTGTGTAAGAAATGGCAAATGCCCTGAAGTTCCATGTTAATGGAATCCTAGCGCTACTATATTTTTTTTCTCCTAATTTGTTTTGCTATCTGCAATGAAAAAGTTGACGCTACAGATGGAAACTGAGATAACCTTAACTCTTCTTGCCCTCCATGGGCTTTCAGCAACAAGCTTTCAGATTTTATTCCAAGTTGCTGATAGAAAAGTATACCGGCTCTTTGGCGATGCTGAGAAAACATGAATCGGGGGCTGATACAAATCTGTAAACTGCAGTGGCCTGACTTAAATCGCTCTTCAACCACCTTAATTTTGTGTACTCTTGCTGTGGGCATCCTGAGCTATAATACAGCTAGAAATGAAATGGAATGAGGCCGAGGCTGATGCCAGAGTGAGCGTAAGAAAAACCCCCTTAAAATCTGTTTTAAACTCACTTTTTAAAATACCTGTGCTACTCTGCTATTCAAGAAGTCCCTGAGGCTGAAGGGCTGTGCTCAGAGTAGGCTGGGCAAAACTCACCTGCCAGGTCTGGAAATGGCCTAAGATGCTGTGGAAGTCAGGCTTTAGCATAACTTAACAAGAGACTGGAGCCTGATGAGGACATCAGCTAGGGCTTCCAAAGCTGAGGATGGGGCTAAATGGAGGTCTTTGTTTCTCTAAGCGGCGAGATACTGAGCTCAGCAAGCTCCTTTCAAAGTCCCTTCCCAAGAGCTGAATCTCCAGCCATCAGGAGAGCTTGAATGGGGGAACAGGGTGTGGGGGATTAGGAGAAGCCATGTATTCTGCACAGCTGGGGATCAGAGAAACTAGAACTGGTCATTTCCGTCTGCAGAGTCACTTGTGGGTTTTTATACTTAACATACAGATGGTTTATTTTCTGCTTAAAGACAGACCTCAAGGGTTGACGTGCTGGGCATGCCTCAAGAGCCGATGATTAAGAAGGAAACGAAGCATTTCCTGCCCATCCCCCCCAGCACAAATATTGCTTAAAATATCCAAATGACGTGGAGTAACTGGCATCTTCCTCCAGCATCTCTGTCTGCTATTGTGAATTATACTCTTGTGGTTTAGCCCTCTCCAAAGGGAGGTGAGCGGCCTTGGGCGACGGAGCGTGCACAGGGGTGGGGGTGCATTTGACAGCTGAACGTAGGAAGAGTTTTCGTGGACCGGATTTACGAACCTTAAGCCTGAGCTGTGTGCAAAGACAGTGTTAAACCCCAGACTTCCTTAAACTTCTGTAGTACTCACCAAACTGATCTGTAGTTGTTTCAGCTTTGCAAACACTGAGGATTTGGAGTGTGGAAATTTTATATCTGAGGGACCTCGAGAGTTCCTGAAGCGTTCCCAAGTGCAGCTGATGGTTGTGAAGCCACCCTGTTACCATGGAGCACTTAATTCTCCAAAAAGTGTTATCTACAGGCAGTGCATTTGAGATAAAATTTGGGAATTGCACTAAAATAAGTCCTTTAGCCAGTCTTCTGCCATCTCTTTGCTCCTTATATTCTTCAGATGGCCGGGGCCGTAATGCGATGCGAGAAGGCCAGTAGTTCTTCATCGGTTGTATCCTTGGAGATGTCAAAACCATTAAATGTAGTTTTCTGTGCTGTTGAACATTAAAGTGAAAATGCAAACAAGTAACTTCCTCTCAATCTCTGCTTTTGCTTGCCAGGTCCTGGAGAAATATCCTAATACACCTATGAGCCATAAAGAGATCCTTCAAGTTATCCAGAAAGAAGGACTTAAAGAAATCAGGTGAGTTAAGTACCCATACCACTAAAACACATTCATACTTTGGTTCCAGCTGAACTTAGTTTACTGTTAACCCCTATCTCATAAGTATTTTGGGGACGGAAATGTTAAATACCCTCAGAATTGGAGCCTAGGTCCCATTTACAAGCAAGCTCTCCAGTCACTGGTACTTGTCACCAAGGAAGCTAGGTATGGGTCGTGCTTAAGTCCCAGGTCTGCAGCTTTTATAGAAGATAAACTAGACCTGATCAGGTAGTTCAGACTCCAGGTACTGAAGTAAACGGAACTATTTTTTGTTTCATCTTTAAAAAAAAAAAAAAGTAGTCAGTTTAATGGAAATGCCTAAACCAAAAGGTAAAGCTATCTGGGGAGTGAGAAAGCAGCCTCACTTACAAATCCTTATTTTGAAAATTTTATGGCTCGTGCTGTTTCCTTTAGTGTCATCTGGAGCAGTGTGTGGTTCTGCCTTGGAGCTCTTCCTGTTCCCCCCCAAGGAGCAGGCTGAGTCTTTGGTGTGTGGGCAAAGGAGGGCACAAACTCAGGTGATGCTGATCTGCGTTAGGAAAACAGAGCAACTCGGGTGACAACCCCCGAGCTGCTGCTACCGTAGCTTAATTCTTGAGTCTGTGCTCATAGTATTTCCCAGAGATGGACCAGTGTATTTAGGGAGATATAAGGGCAACTGTTCCCTGAAGTACAAAGTATTTATATTCCTGTTTTCCAAGAACAAAGAAAAAGGGGGAGGGAAAAGAGGATTGGATGTGCCAGTTCATCTGTTTTGGAATGGAGTAGCCATCCTGAAGTTGGCTTCATTTTGTTTTTCACTACACTTTGCCAGTTTAATGCAGCAATCCATCTGCTGTGGCAGAAATACTCAAGGCCCGAGTGCAGAAATTCTGCTGTCGATAGCAAGACCTTCCACTCAAGTGGTGGACAACACAGAGGTGGTCTGGGTTTTGGGAAGTCAGTTTATCTAAAAGTAAGGGAGCCAAATACACCCATTTTAGCTCTTGGGGAGGTGACAGAAGTGGGGCTTTGTTCCTGAGATGCGCTTTGCTTTGGGGCAGTACCACATTAAGATGAAAGGTTTACCAGCCTTAGGACAGCTTCAGTGTTGTGTTAAATACTGTTAATCCATCAAAGGCCTGTCTGCCTTGTGGCAGCCCCTTGTGCATTCCCAAGCATAGACATGCAGATGTCTGTACTGGTGGTCTCCTGATGGCAAAGCGAAAGTCTAGCCAACACCCAGGCACTTGGATGGTGAACCTTTTTAGCAATTCAGAGTGCTCTTCTTGGGGGAGAGCCTTAGGCAGGAACTCAGATGTGGTGTAAAAGAGCCAGTCTCTGGCTGGCCAGGCCAGATTTTGGACTGAACAGTCAAAAAAAACCCAAACAACCCCAAAGAGAAATGCCATTGTGCCATATAGTCCTCCTCAGCCTCAGGTCCTCCTTTTAGACTTGGTTTGGGGATTTAGCCTGAGGTGATAGTAGGTTGTTTTCCTCTCTGAAAGAGCTGCTGCTGAACACCAGGACAGCACAAAGTCCTCAGCAACTTAAATCCCAAAAGGCGTTTGTGGGAGCAGTCAGCTGTGAAGCTCAATTTCTCTGGTTCAGCTCTCTACCTTACTGACTTGGCCATGCTTGGATGCTGAGGAGTGGCCTGTCCTCTGAAATGTTAGATTGATGTAATAAAGCTTCATTTAGGTTAAGAACTAAAAGGTTGTCAGTTCTTAAGCAATTCACTTCCAGTTGGTGCCAGTAACATGTTTGTGGCTGGACTGGGCTTCTGCTCTATCACAGCCTGTGACAAGATGGGCTTACACAAATCAGCATTTATTAGAGGAAAAATCTCTTTAGAGACGTTACAGAAGCTGTCAGGTGAGCATGTTGAGCTCATCACATTTTGAGTCCTCTTCTGTGGAGGCCTTGGCAGGAAACCATGGCAAAGCCTTTGACAGCAGATTACAGCAATTGTACAATTGTACAACCTGTACTTGGTTGCCTTGAGACAGCAGGCACCTGCAAGGCACATCGTTTGGTAAGATGGTGTATAGGGAGTGTGCAGGGGGGACGTGGGCTCTCCCGTTAGCATGTGCAACCAGGCATTTGAGTTTTTTGAATTGTTTCTCAATGCAATTTGCTTTTGAGAAACAGAATTGCAAATTTCTTTGGTAGTAAAGATTCTGTGGTTTGTGGACATAGTTCGAACGCTGTCAGTTTTGGCTGTAGTGTTCGTTGTTTGGTGTTTTTAATTCAAATCCTTAGATACACCGAACTTTCTAAAATCTCTGATTTCCAGAACTAACGTAGTTTTAGAAGCGACAAATGACTTCCCTACAGGTGCACTGAAATAAGGCAGAGAGCATGGGGAGCCCAGCTAGGGTCTAGCAGTCACGTCTCTGTTTGGCCGTGCAGCCAGTCCACCTCCCGTTCGCTCTGGTGGTTCCTGGCATGTGCTGCTGCTTGGGAGGATGCCTGAGGGCACGCTGAAAGAGCTTCGAGGACTCCAAGCGCTGGTATTGTCGCAGAGGATTTGGAATGGTAGGAAGGAAGGGTGGCAGTTGAGATGAGCGTGGAAGAAAGAGGGACGGTGGTTTCTGCTGTGTGCAGGACAAGCTGAGTGGTTTTTGGACAAGGCTAGGGCTTTCCTGGGACGGGGATGTTTGTAGCAATACAGAAACCTTGGGTGATACTGGCTGATTATCTCACCCATATTTATAAATTTATCCTAGTGCTCAAATAAGCACTAGGATAAGATTTTTTTAGAGGTCAACCCAGGACCAGTACTCCGAGGTGTCAGTTTTCGACACCTAAGGCATCCTGAAGCCAGAACTGTACTTTTCAAGTGATCTGTCATCCTAATCTTCTCAATTTGCCTGTTTTGACAGGCTGTCCTAATCCTGTGAGAACCTTTCCTGCCTACAGGTCACTGCTTGCAAACTGTGAAAATAAAATACATGTGGATAAACACTTGATGAATTGGCAGCGTAACATATCTGGCTCTAAGATTTGTCCAACATCCTATATTGCCTTATCTCTGGCAAGGTAGCTCGGGGAAGCCTGAGCATGTCGTAACACTTGCACTTTCAAATGAGGCTTTGACGGTGCATCGGATAATGGTGTTAACCCAGGCAACACCAACTAAACTTGAATGCATGGGATAGATGGACCCCAAGAGTTAGCAACAGAGAATCAAATTTGTTTGATAAGTAGCTTTTTAAATCAAAATTGTTGACTTGTTGTCGTGGTTTAACCCCAGCCAGCAACTAAGGACCACCCAGCCACTTGCTCACACACCCCCCCCTCAGTGGGATGTGGGAGAGAATTGGAAGAGTAAAAGTGAGAAAACTTGTGTGTTGAGATAAGGACAGTTTAATAAATGAAATAAAGTGAAATAATAATAGCTGGCACAGGATGGGAAGCTTAAAAGTCCTTGACTTTGTTGTTGCCAAGTAGTGTAAATGCTAAGCCATCAGTGAGTTATCAACATTATTCTCATCCTAAATCCAAAACACAGCATTATGCCAGGTACTAGGAAGAAAATTAACTCTGTCCCGGCCAAAACCAGGACAGCATCCACCCCGATTCTGTGCCATCTACGTCATGCCCAGGTCCTACCCTTCCCAATACAGTCCAGTTAATCACCACCACTTTCCCCGCCTTTTCATCTATGGACACAGATGTCATTCCCGCAGTCTATGGGCCATCCCTCTGGAATGTCCGTTGGGCTCCTTTAGTCCATGACTTTGAGTTCCATCGGTCGTAAGAGTGCTTCAGGGCAGGCAAGCTGGGCTGTGGTGGTGGATTGTTGCACATTGAAGCCAGTGCTGGTGCCATCACTGCTGCGCTTGTCCAGTTCTATCATTGCTGCACTTTGCTCAGTTTCATCAAAATTCATTCTTCATTCATCTCCGTGATTCTTACTGTAATGCTGTTGATACGGCACGTAACCACCACAGAAGTGACCGTATAGCAATTACCATCAAACCGTTCAGCTCATTGGCTACTCTCACCCAAAAGCACATCCCCTTGAGGTACACATCGGACTTCCCCATCCTTCCACATCACCCCCCAAGTGCACCCAGGTCCTTGGGCAAAAGCAGTCCCACGGATGGGTTTGCCTTTGCCTGGGCAGGAGTAACCCAGACCGTCTGCCCCAGCGTGTTTTTTGCGTGCGCTGCAGGGACTTTGTCCCCTCTTCAGCACGCAGGAGGTCTGATGGGGCAGGGCCAGCCCGGCTGGCAGATCCCCTAGGGTTGACTGACCAGGTGGCTTTGCTAAATGTGTATCCCAATGTTTGAACGTCCCAGCACCCGTTGCTCTCAGTGCAATCTATAACAGTCCATTGTATGTTTGATTTTCCCAGAGGCTGGTGCATGACAGGGGATGGGATAGACCCACCCAATGCCCTGCTCTTTGGCCCAGGTGTCTATGAGGTTGTTTCGGAAATGAGCCCCGTTGTCTGACTCACTTCTTTCTGGGGTGCCATGTCGCCACAGGACTTGCTTTCCAAGGCCCAGGATGGTGTTCCGGGCGGTGGCATGGGGCACAGGGTATGTTTCCAGCCATGTGTTGGCTGCTTCCACCATGGTGAGCACATGATGCTTGCCTTGGTGAGTTTGTGGGAGTGTGATACAAGCAGTGTGCCAGGCCTCCCCGTGTTTATATTTTGGCCACTGTCCTCCATACCGGAGAGGCTTTAACCGCTTGGCTTGTTTGATCGCAGCACATGTTTCACGTTCATGGATAACCTGTACAATGCAGTCCATGGCCAAGTCCACCCCTCGATCACGAGCCCATCTCTTCCTTGATGGCCTGAGGTGTCATGGGCCCACTGGGCTAGAAGTTATTTTACCCTTATGTTGCCAGTCCAGATCTACCTGAGC